TATATATATATATATATATATATATATATATATATATATGTATATGTATATATATATATATATATATATATATATATATATATATATATATATATATATATATATATATATATATATGTATATATATGTATATATATATATATATATATATATATATATATATATATATATATAGAGAGAGAGAGAGAGAGAGAGAGAGAGAGAGAGAGAGAGAGAGAGAGAGAGAGAGGTATATGTATATATATACATATGTACATATATGCATACATATATGTATATATATGTTTACATATATATACATATATGTATGCATATATGTATATATGTATATATATGTATATATATATATATATATATATATATATATATATATATATATATATATATATATATATATATAGTGTGTATGTATGTATGTTTGTATGTGTGTGTATATATATATGTGTGTGTGTGTGTGTGTGTGTGTGTGTGTGTGTGTGTGTGTGTGTGTGCATATATATCAAGCATTTCACACGCATCCCTTGTTTAACGTCCCCGGTCTCCGCCGCCCAGGCAGTGGACCGGCACATGGCCCTCGGCTACGCCTACTACGCCCACGACGACTTCAAGTACCACGAGGGCAAGACGGTAGGCGAGTGGCGGGAGGAATACAAAGCTGTGTAAGAATATACAAATATATCTTTCTGGAAAAAAATGAAAATAGAAAATGCTCATGATATTATCAGCAGTAAATACTTTTTGATAATTAGTGTTCAGTTTGTGGTATGATATTTGCAGACTATGCAGACCAGTGTCTTTGCTTTTCAGTTACCTGAATCACAGTCAGAGTTTAACGGCGGACTACGCGGGCTACACCTACGACGCCGTCTGGACGTACGCCTTCGCACTGGACAAGCTGCTGAAGGAAGACAAGACGCACGTGTCGAACCTCCACAGTCCGAGAACAAACAAGTAAGTATTTCCACGCAAACCATCTCCAGCCACGAGGGAAGGCGTGCGCGAGGATATCAGGAGGAAGGCTTAGAGCATCGAGACGAATAATGGTTTTCTTTCAGACGCTTTGTGGAAATCATTTCGCAGACGGAATTCGATGGCGTCTCGGGACACATCAACTTCAAGGACGGACCGTCTCGCGATGCCACTATAAATATCATGCAGTATGTTTTCGACTACACCACCATGACAGGGCAATACAAGACGGTGGGCACCTTCACCAGCAATGATTCAGAGAATAAAATGTAAGGAACAGTTTCATTATAATTGTTAACTGCTTACGCATGCACGTATACATGTATGTATATATCAGTCTATCTATCTGTCTACACACACACACACACACACACACACACACACACACACACACACACACACACACACACACACACACACACACACACACACACTCACACACACTCACACACACACACACACACACACACACACACACACACACACACACACACACACACACACACACACACACACACACACACACACACACACACACACACACACACACACACACACACACACACACACACACACACACACACACACACACACACACACACACATATAAATATATATATATATATGTGTATGTATATATATATATATATATATATATATATATATATATATATATATATATATATATATACATATATATATATATATATATGTGTATGTGTATGTGTATGTGTATGTATATATATATATATATATATATATATATATATATATATATATATATATATATATATATATATATATATATATATATATATATATATATATATGCATATATATATGTGAATATATATATATATATATATATATATATATATATATATATATATATATATATATATATATATATATATATATATATATATATATGTATATATGTGTGTGTGTGTGTGTGTGCATTATATATATATATATATATATATATATATATATATATATATATATATATATATATATATATATATATATATATATGCATATATATATATATGCATATATATATGTATATATATATATATATATATATATATATATATATATATATATATATATATATATATATATATATTTATTTGTACATATATACATATATATATATATATATATATATATATATATATATATATATATATATATATATATATATATATATTGATAGACAGGTATAGATAGACATAGATACGGTGTAGATATATATATAGATAGATAGAGAGATAGATAGATAGATATAGATATATGTATATATGTATATATATGTGTGTGTGTGTGTGTTTATATATATATATATATATATATATATATATATATATATATATATATATATATATACATACATATATATATGCATGTGTGTTTGTATATGTATATATATATATACATATATATGTATGTATGTATAGTACAGTATGTGTATATGTATATATACTGTGTGTGTGTGTGTGTGTGTGTGTGTGTGTGTGTGTGTGTATGTGTGTGTGTGTGTGTGTGTGTGTGTGTGTGTGTGTGTGTGTGTGTGTTTCATACATACACAGGAGTGAATGTGATGTATGTGTCGCAGTTAAGAGACATATGATGTTTTACTTTGAGAAGATACGCTCCGACAAACTGAAAGCCACTCCTCTAGTAGTTCAAGATTTCCTGTGTGCATGCGCATTTGCGTTACGATTAGTTAATACGATTAAGACGTATTAGGGAGGCTTGAAATGTGAATGCTTGTCTTTGGGTACATTTGGGTCTCTTGGCAGACTGAACATGGATCAGCAGAATACGGAGTTCTTCAACGGTATCCCCGGCGACGGCTCGCTGCCCAACTCCTGTCTGTTCGAAACCTTCAGGCAGATCCTGGACGTGCGGTGCGAGGTCGCCATCGTCATTGTCATGGTCCTCATATTTGCGGTGTTTGCCATGATACTGATCGGGCTGTTCATTGTCTACAAAAAGCGGCAAGTCTATTTCAGTTGCTTTATCTCTTTTTTATTTGTTGCTGTTTTTTTTATCAATAATGATAATATTTTCACGGTGTTGGTAAATTTGGCCGTAGTCAAAACAAAATAATGTATAATAGTATAAGTAGCTATTTCTTATAAAATTCATATTTGTTGTGAAATAAGTTCTTTATAAAAATATTTGTTTTTGTACAGTAGTATGAATAAGTCTGCCATTGAAAAAGGAATCTGACCCACGGTGTCTGTTTCCAGGTTTGAGAAGATGTTGCCCGAGCAGCCGGCCTGGCCGCTCGGAGAACTGATGTCCCTGGACGAGTGGGAACTTCCTCGAGAAAAGGTTGTGATTAACCGCACCATTGGCGAGGGCGCCTTTGGCACCGTGTTCGGAGGTGAGTGCCAGTTTGGGGAGAACTCCCCCTGGCTGGCAGTGGCAGTCAAGACGCTGAAGGTGGGGTCGACAGTTGAGGAGAAGCTAGACTTCTTGGGCGAAGCGGAAATGATGA